TCATGTTTGCCCTGTGGGGTCTACCTACATCTCTGACTATAGTCCTCAGGAGTTTAGTTATGACCCAGAATATGAGTAGATCTTTATTATCATGGTGCAATGGGAATTGTTTAAAATTTATTTTTAGACCAGACTCTTATCTGAGCCTCCTGGGGTGTCCTGACTACACCTGGGACCATCTGTGGGCATCATCATTAATGCAGCTTAAATGCATCCCACACTGGCTCTCTTGATAAGCACAACTCCTTATGCGACTGAATAGCTTTATGTGTAGTTTTTCTTGTTTGTGTCTCATTCAATTTTGGAAGCTGTCTCAAAGCCCAATTATTTCATATATTAAATCAATATCATCAAGGTCCAGTAAGGACACTAAAATCCATGCTAGGCAATTTCATTGAAGAAATTTAATATGGGGAAACAATTAGTTACAAAAGTGTTGGAAGAGCTGAAAATAAGTGCTAGTGAGGCTACTCAGAAAATAACAACTAAACAAAGCTACTTCCAATCTGGGAATGGTGGTGAATGCCTATAACCCCAGCTAATTGGGAGCTGAGGCAGGAGGCCTCAGTTCAAGGCCATCCTGGGCAATTTAGTCGAACTCTGTATCAAAATTWAAAAAAAAATCAAAAGGACCAGGTGTATAGCTTAGTAATTGAGTGCTTACCTATCATGTCTTTGCAAAGTCCTGGGTTTTCCCTGGTATAATAAATAAATAAGAAGTTACTGCCATCCAAGGAGACTGAGAGGTAGGGAAGAGATGATGTTTTCAGCATAGGGACCAGGGCTGGGCTGTGTGGTGGAAGCTAGAACCATATAAAAGTACCACCCAAAAGAAGGCAGAGGCAGGACAGAGGTTTCTGGGTGGGAACTGGAGCCCAAAGGGTAGGACTTCCAGGCAGGAGCCAGACCCTCAGCCTCTGCAGGATATGCTCCCAAAGCAGAGGGGGAAAGGAATACCCCCAGGTTCTCCCCAAACTCCCATCTCCTGCCAGGATCTCCCACTGGCTGCACCTAATCTGTAGGCAATGTAGGCAATGGGCAAGGGAGTCTGAAAAATGGAGACTCCCAAACTTCCAAAGCAGGAAAGAACAAGGAATGTATTTAACAGGAAAAGGGGCAAGAAAACAGGCAAATAATATGTGGAAGAATGGGGAAAAGGAAGACAAATGACCAATAAACAGAAAAATTGTTCAACCAGGGAAATACAATTTCAAATGGGGCAACACAATTTTAAACCACAGATTTTATTTTTTTATTATTTTGTATCAGGATTGAACCCAGGGCTGCTTAACCATTAAGCCACATCTCCAGACCTTTCTAGTTTTGATTTTGAGACAGGGTCTCACTAAGTTGCTGAGGCTAGCTTTGAACTGGCAATC